TTATAAATCACTTTGTGTTAGCAATAAAGAAAGTATTAGAAAAATCTAAATGATCTATTTTAATTTCGTTATAACTTTAGTTGTATGAGCTACATGTGAAATGAGTTGTAATAATTTTAAATACCTTGACTACTGTTGTTAGATCTAAGTAGGCTTATTTACTTTAAGTCAATTAAGATGAATATTCAACAACAAAGGGTTGTAAAATGTCTTGAAATAGACTTTACTACGCCTTGTACAAAGTACAAAGATTTCAATGAATGTGCTCAGCATGGCATCGTGGATCTCAACAAGATGCTGAACACTTCGCATCAATCATTTGAGATCCAAATAAGGATATTATTTGTCAGATAGATAATTCAGTAAAACGAACTATTGAAGAAAACAGAAAGAAACTGTATCCTATTATTTCAACAATATTATTTTGCGGAACAAATGATTTGGCAATTTGTGGGAAAGATAGCATCAAAGGAAATGTCGAACAACATTATTCGTATCGAATTGATGGAGGAGACAGTATTTTAAAAAACTATTTTGATACAACTGCTGAAAATGCACGTTACACATCACACCCAACGCAGAATGATTTGATCAACTTGTCTGAACAAGCTCTGCGAGAAGACATTGTAAAAGCTGCCAACAATGCTGTTGGATTATTGATCATAGCCGATGAAACAGCAGATATCTCAGGAACAGAACAGTTGTCACTGGGAGTCCGGTTTGTAGATACGTCTAGTGAGAAGGCTATGATTCTTGAGGAATTCCTTGGATTTTCTCCGCTGAAAGATATGGACGCCGCCACGATATCTGATTGTATTATTCAACATTTCAAAACATTTGGTCTTCTCTTTAATAATCTGCTGGGTCAAGCTTATGATGGGTGCTCGACAATGGCCGGAAAAGAAAATGGTGTTCAGGCAATAATTCGAAGTATTTACCCCAAGGCTGCCTTTGTCCACTGTGCCTCACATAGACTGAATCTCGTTGTAAATGATCTTAATAATGTTGCAGTGATACGAAGTACTATTGGTACTATCAAAGCAATTATTACATTTTTTTCGTTAAAGCCCAAAAAGGAGGTCCTCTGTCCCAAATATTCCTCTTCTGTGTGAGACAAGATGGACAAGCAGGTATAAAAGTATTCTGATTTTTTCTAGTAAATTTGAAGATATTTATCGTCAACTGGAAGAATTTTCATTGCATGCAAGTGGAAATACACGACATGCTGCACATGAGTTATATTGTTCATCAAAGTCCAGCAAGTTTTTATTTTGTCTCAATATTATTTCGCAGTACTCTGCCATACTGGAACTAGTTACTCAGGCTCTTCAAGCTGTTCAAGTTGATCTTCCAGAAGTCCAACTGCAAGTTCAAAACCTGCTCAGTGTAGTAAAACTTCACCGAGGTGATTCCGATAACTATTTCTGGGATATTTTTGAGAAAACAGTACAACTCGCACAGAAGGTGGATATTGATCTGATTATCCCAAGACAGTGTGGAAGACAAAAGCTTTGAAGTAATCCGGGAAACATAAGTGTTGAAGAGTACTTCAGACACACAGTTTACATTCCATACTTAGATTCTCTAATTGACTCAATGGAGAGTGGATTTTATGAAGCCAACAGTGCACAATTTAACTTAGCGTTGCTACATCCTTCGCAATAGCAAACGGAATCGTCAACAGTTTAAGGATGCAATGTCTACTATTAATCAGGTATACCACATTGGTAATTTTGAACGTGAAGCCTTGAGTTGGTTTGATTTTTGGAAAACGCGAGAATACAAAAGTAGCCAAGATTTCATTGACTTGTTACCTTTTACAGTTTTATCTGGCTGTCAGGTATGCCTTGCTAGTTTTGCTAACATTACCAGCAACAACATGTATGGTAGAGCGATCGTTCAGCACATTACGTCGTGTAAAAACATGGCTTAAATCTACAATGTCAGATGAAAGTCTGTCTGGGTTGTGCATGTTAAGCGTACACAGAGACAAAGTGAACTGCAACAAAAAAGACTTTATGGACAAAATTGTAGATATGTTTGGTAGCGATAACAGATTTCTCCAGTTCTTGTTTAAAGAATAAACTTTATTTTAAATTTATGTTGTAATATATTTTTGTTATATACATATATTGTATTAATAAAAAAATTGAATTGTTACTACAGTGTCCTGTCCGTTCGTTCACCATACAAATACGCTACAGTAAATTAAAACTACAAAAATAAAACAAAATAAAACATTTCAAAAAATTTTTTTCCCCCCCCCCCCCCAGAAAATTTTCTTCGGGCGCCCATGTGCTGGAGTGTTTTGATCGCTTTAATTCTGAACTCGAGATCAGATACGATCAAGGAAGTAGCTGATATGTTTGGGGCTGTTCAACACAATAGTCTATTATCAGCAAGTGAAGAAGATTTATTGGTGTCCGTTCCAAAATTAACCTATTTCTATACATGAGTTATCAGAAGATGAACTTTTAAAAGAAATACCAAGGTTTAGAAGTCATCTAAAGGCAGCTGATATTGAATTTTACAAAGGCTTGGACTGGTCAGTATTTACTGTTTTTAAACTCATAGCTGAATGAGACTTCCTATAATATCTTCCAATACTCTCGCTAAGACTTAAATAATTTCTCTGTGGCCTCATTTGAGCGGAGCTTTTCAAAACTAAGGCTTATCAAGAACTTCTTAGGATCCACCATGGCACAGTCAATGCTTTCTGATATGGCTCTGCTATCAATTGAAAGTGATACGGTGAAGAATATTGATTTTGATCAAGTGATTGACAGGTTTGCAGCTTTGAAGAGAAGGAAAGAAAAAAATTTAAATAAAGTAAATTTAATTTAAAAATAATTATAACTAAACGCATGTTACAGTTCTTAAATACACTGACCTCATGACCTTTCTTTTTTTTTTTTGTTGTTCTTGTCATTGCTATACTGTGGACTTATTTTAACAAGAAGAAATCCATCGTGGAAGTTTGGAGAGAAGGGTGACACCATGGGTTTACCGCACCCGGTGACACCAACCCTAGCTACGCCACAGTACTTTGTAATTATTCCATTTAACTATTAACCTCGATCCAGATATATCAAAAAGGATTATCAAGATAACAACTGATGGCAAATGCGAGAACTGTTCCACTTCCATCAACAAAGCGTTTCTCCGAATATGTTCACCATGGCTTGAAATCTAGCATGTGAAGAAAAATATATTGTTAGTAAAACTCAACATTACCATCAACAAAATCATTTTTTTTAAAAAGTTACTTATTTCAGGTTAGATGATCCAATTAACATCGTTTTAATCTCCTTGCTGTGTTGTTTATTTTTTATTATTGTGTTGACCCAGTTACGAAAATAGAAACACATGTACACAACACGCCGACGGAATACACATTCTGTTCACCATTCTTGTAAACGACTTCTCGTCAAGACCTTGACACTTGAAGTGAACGTTTCCTAAGAGCAGACTTCCGTTAAGCCAATTGTATTATGCTGAGACTGGATAAAGGGTTCTTAATCACGGACATGAGTCAGTGCCAGGGGGTGTGCAAAAACCCAGAACTTTGTATTAGCTGCAGTTGATGGTTTTTAATGACTTTTTTAAAAAAAGAAGCAGCAGTTTTTGTGCTTTGTAAATTGTTTGTACTGGTGCAATATTTGTACTGGTGCAATATTTGTACTGGTGCAATATTTGTACTGGTGCATTACTTGTACTGGTGCAATATTTGTACTGGTGCATGATTTGCACTGGTGCAATATTTTTACTGGTGCAATATTTGTACTGGTGCAATATTTGTACTGGTGCAATATTTGTACTGGTGCAATATTTTTACTGGTGCATTATTTGTAATGGTGCAATATTTGTTTGCAATTCCAAGATCATTGAAAAAATAAAGAAAACATCATAACTGATTTTTTGTTCATATTTATTTATTTCAGTAATTTTTTTTATCGTCGTTTGGGTGGAAAAGGGCGGGCGCGGGGTGGGGGGTTAGGGTGAAATTGTGAAGATTTATGTAAAAAAATGAAGGTTTTCAGAACATCTGCTCATTCCTTCCTTCTATCTAAATAAGCTACTACAAATAGTAGGCCCTAGCCTCAATCTATATATATAATTTGCCAGCAAAGGTCAAACACCACCTTCCCGCAGGCTATTTATAGATACGCCAGAGTGTGGTTCAATAATGAGTTCACTAGCGCGCAAAATATAATTCCCGATAACTACGCTAAATGATATCTCTATTTTTTTTTAATAACGCACTTGCGTGTGGTGCTTAATGTTTTCTTTTCCGAAATGAAATCGTCTCAATTTAAGTATTGTGTCAAAAATAATATTCGGTTTTAAAAGTGGTTGGGACATGAGAATATTAATATAGTTCATGGGCGTGAAATAAAAAGTGTGCAGTGACGTATCATGGGGGAAGTGTAGTAGCAAATATTGGGATTCTTAAATGTACGTTACTTGACGTAATGCTTTGTCAAGTAACTTCACTAGATGGGAAGTTCACGCGTTGCTGTCGCCAATGTTTGGCGGGCTCTATCTAGTATGATATAATGGTATTTATCGAAAAAAAGTTGTCCTTTTTTCAAAATTATTGATAATTATTTACAATTTAGTTTTTTTTTTTTTTTTAAATGTCCTAATCCGTTTTATTTCGTTTAAGATCACCTTGTAATGACTCAAGATAAGTTTTAATTTTATCAATTAAATATTTTTTCAATGTTAAAGTCACATATTAGACATCAGTGCACATTTTTAATGAGTTTAATCTCTTTGACTCAAGTGATATTGCGGGTCGTTGAGAAAAATATTATCTTATCAACAATAATGAACAGATCAAGTAGGATCAAATTGTAAACGATAAGTTGCCGTTGAAGTCCTTTAGTGGCTTTGATGGGTATGCAGTGCATGAACCTAGTTATTTTTATATTAGTTTTGTTACTTTAGACTTAGAATCAGTGAAAATTTAGTTGAGATAAGAATAATGTTTTAAAAAGCTCAAAAAATAAAACAAATCGATATGTATGATTTAAAATAGCTTCTAAATTGTTTTTGAAGCATTTCTTCATTGATAAAAAAAAATCAAAACAACTACAACAACAAAAACATCTAAAAACTTCGTTGCCATGAGTTTAATACAAGTTACAGTACTAATAATTTCTTTGTTTGTCTGGCTTTCACAAGAAATAGAAGGTAGGCGATCTATTAAAAATTTTTGTAGCATTATAAAGATTGTAAATTAATTTAATTGATTTTTTTTTTTTAAAGGAAGAGTTTTTGTTTTTTTTGTTTTTTGGCATACTTGCTAAAGAATTAGAAAACGTATATAAACAAAAAAAAAAAAAAAAAAAAGGGGGGGGGGGGATCACTTTAATGTTGTGTTGTTTTTTTTTACAATGGCTGAGCGACACAATATTTCGTGACAGAAAAGCCATCTTATCTAATTTAGGAATGACACGATCGAGTGCTCTATCCTTCAATGGTTGTCATTTTTTTGTAAATCAGTGGTATTTGCTCGAATTGTCGCATGGAGGGTAGTGCTTTTTTGCATTAGACAATAAAACTACAAAGATAACGATTCTTTCAAAGCAAACATAAGAGACAGTCTTTTGAACTCACGCCCTTCGTTGAAAGCTTTCACTACACTTAAGTGGGAGTGGGGGGGGGGGTAAATTGTGTTTGTCTTTATTGATTTGTCATGGTTTGACTTCCTGCTAATAAGATGTGTTTAGTCTTGCAGACGGTGTCCGTATTATTCTTGACAATAGTCCCTGGCCTTAAAAAGGGGGATAAGAAGATAAATGTTTATCGGCAGTTAGTTTTTTTAGGGTGCTGCCAGAATTTTATTTTTAAGTTGTATTGTTCTCTTTTTAGTAGAGACCTCTACCTATTACAGTAGAGAAATAAAAGATGTAACCAGCAACCAAACATAAATAAAGGAAATCAGGCATTTGACGGGGTCACCCATTTCAAGGCTTTATAATAACCTTGTTTATTTCTATTTTTTAAGAGAAGTTTCCATTTGTTAAAACTTTAAAATAATAATAATACATATTAATATGGAATCATTCTGTATAATTTGTGATATCGATTAATTGTACATAAAATGTAATTTCGTTTCGCAATGTTAATTAACTATGTTTTCAGTCGAGGTAATTAATTAAATTTTGACAATTACAAAAGACTAGAAAGCTTAAATTATGCTCAATAGATGGGCGCCCGCAGGGGGGGGGCAAGGGGGGCACTTGCCCCCCCCCCGGATTGATAAAAAATGTAGACAAAAATAGACAAAAAATGTATTAAAGTAAAGAGAAAATAAAGAGAAAGTAACTAAGCTGATGTCCCGTCCTTTCGTCCACCATACAAATACGCCACAATGAATTAAAATTACATTAAAACATTGCTAACAATTTTTTGCCCCCCCCCCCCCTGGAAAGTTAATCGATTTTTTTGCCCCCCCCCCCCCCTGCTAGAAAGTTTTCTGCGTTCGCCCATGGCCACCTACATGATAGATTTACAAACGAAATAGATTATTATTATTCAGTTCAGGGTACTTCACCAGAGACTTAAAACTTAAAATGAATTTACCGCAAACAACACAAGTTTGAAAGTCACTGATTGTTACCGTTCTTAATTTATTGTGGAGTGTCCCTTATCACACTTCTTGAGAAGTTAAATTCCACCTCACAGTTTCGATTTTTAATGCAGTTTCGGATATTAGGAAACTAAATTATAAATATTTAGTAGTTTTTTTTTTTTTGGTTAGCCCCGTAGTTCCCAAACATTTTGACACATGTCCCCTAAAATCAACCAAGCAGATTGAATTCAAAATTCCTTTAAAGTAGGTGAAGTTATTTAGCAACTAAATTTTACCAGTAACTAACACACAACATAATACATAAGTTACCATTTCATAAATACACGTTAGCTTTCCCTTGTAAACACTAAGATAAGTATTCAGGTTTGACCGCTCGAGATGCCAGACTCGCTCAATTTGATTTGGGCTCATTTTCAAAACTATTCCTTTCAGTATTACAGGAAATCCCTATCAATACTGACGATCCTGTGTTGCATTTGAGAATTGATAGCTTTTATATTGATATAATTTAGCAATCTTACAGACGTATTAAAAGTAGCAACTCAAAACTCATTAAAAGCTGAAGATTGTATCCCATTGGTCAGCTTGCGAACCAGGATGGTTTGGATCAAAATGTCAGTACATGTGTCACTGTGCCAAGGCAAGCTGCCTGGGGAATGGAGCGTGTCTGGATGGAGATCACTGCATGACGGGGTGGTTTGGTCCAAAATGTCAATACCGTAAGTTTTTCATTTGTATTGTTTATATATATGTATATATATACATATTTATATATATATATATATATATATATATATATATCTATATATATGTATATGCTTTCTCCCACTACTGGCTTAAGACTCAAGGAATGGAATTACAATGTTGCTTAAATGTACACCTATCATTTAAAGTGTTCACGGTGTCAAGTGTTAATAAGAATGTTTTTGTTCCTGTAAAACAAAAACAAAAACATTTAAAGAAAGTCAACCAAAATTAAGTATCATTAAGAAACACGCAAAAAAGATCAGCTTTATACAAGGTGTGATGATTTTGTACGAAAACACGATGACATTCATAGTATATATGTGAATGTTTTGCTTAAATGTCTATGTAACAAATAACGCATTTATTCGCGTCAATTTCAAATTAAAAAGTGCTTCCTTGGTGATTCTAGAAAGCTGTAATGTGTCATTTTGTGTTAAGGGATGGCTATGTGCTTCCTGCATCACCAAGCTGCACACGCCATCAGTGTCCAGTGAATGTTAACTGACCTATACAGTTAACATGTTGGTTTGACTGGAATCTAAACACCCAAAATCAGCATATTTCATGTATTGGGACAGTAAATGGTCAGCACTTGTGACTTGCTTCACCGAGTAGTCTAAGCCGATAGTTCTAAACTGTGTTTACTCCAAGCTTTTGTGCTGGAGTTTAATCCCCAGCCAAAGCCTAAACAAAAATAAACACCACCGCCATCCCGGGTGGATGGAACTCCTTAACCTTGGATTGCAATTCATCTAAGAGAAATTAAAACATCTGACTTCAAAACTCAGAGATGGAATCCCGTATGACATGGACACAATTAAATTTCTGGAAACTTCTGAAACCCAAAAACACAAAAAAGCGAAGGGAAAAAGAGCACACAAAAACACTGCTGGTCAATTTCTGCATCCTGGTCTATTTCCAGTCGTCTTGACTAAGTCTAATAAACAAGGACGAGAGAGAGAGAGAGAGAGAGAGAGAGAGAGAGAGAGAGAGAGAGAGAGAGAGAGAGGCTAACAAACTGAGCAACTCGCCCTCATTTTAAAAAAAAATACAGCTCAACTCAAGACTCCCACTCATGCAAAAGAAGAGCACTAATATAAAAAAAGAGAACACAAAAACACTGCTGGTCAATTTCTGCATCCTGGGCTATATCCAGACGTCTAGACAAAGAGTAAAAAAAAAGGACGAGAGAGAGAGAGAGAGAGAGAGAGAGAGAGAGAGAGAGAGAGAGAGAGAGAGAGGCTAACAAACTGAGCAACTCGCCCTCATTTTAAAACAAAATACAGCTCAAGTCAAGACTTCCACTCATGCAAAAGAAGAGCACTAATATAAATAACATGCTTAACATAACTTCTGTAAAGTTAATATTCATCCCACGTCTTTTTCTATTAAATGTATTTAAGTTACATGTTTTTGCAATTTATAATTTGTTGCTACCTCTAACATAGTTTTAACTCTAAATTTCTAAAAATGGTAACAGACACAATAATGATGTACAATGTAGACATCTCACCCAACGTTAAATCTGTTTGAAAAAAAATAATCACTATTAATAAAAGGTTAATAATTGTAAAGATCAGTATAAATTAGTTCTTTTTATTTTTTGATACCATTCTCTATATTTAAATTATTTATATATTTATTTATATACACCGCAATTAATTATGCAGAGGATTCATCTGCCGTGGCCACCATAACAACCACACCACGTTATCACAGTTCTTCACTGTTAACTGACGGAGACGACGAATCATGCATCTTAAACATTGAATCTATCACGGTTGTGTGGAATACAACATACCCGCTATCATGGATAAGGGTCATAGGCGGAGAAATGGGTAAATGAAATTGTAACTATCAGATGCTCTTGACTTGATATCGCAAAAAGCACTTTGGGCATTATGGGTAAGCTATGGTAAATCAACTATACGGTATTATCAAATATTAATTAAAGAAAAAAACAAACATAATAATTGATTTACTTGGGGATTCTTTTTTTTTTTTTTTCTTTCTAATTCAGTGAACCAATAAAATGTTTCTTTGTTACTAAAGATAGATGATTTTGAGCAGCAATTTTTATCACTTTGCATTAGATAATACAAGCCATGTAAACTATAATGAATGAAAGATAAAATATCAGTAAAGCACTGTTAATCGTTCTCCACTTCTAGCATTGCTAATATGGAAGTCGTTAATCGCTCAGTTTTGTGTAGGCCTCCGCGAAGTCATGTTGTGAGAACCGTTTATAATCAACACTGCTTTGACTTTGATTTGCCTCTGGCAGGTATGCGACAACAAATGGGTATACGTTTCAAGGGAAATAACACCACAGCAACTTTCGAAGAATGCTTTGAAGAGAAGACAGTTTTGTGGGGTCCTAACGTACGAGACGTGTACTGTACGATGAACACCGCCGTGAATCAACTCGTTTTAGCTTGGGAAGAGCGGACTTCACTGTGCTCCATCCACATAAGTGGAGGTGAGGGTATTTACTGTTAGTGTTAATGCAGTGGCATAGCTAGGGCGGACACAAATTTCGCCACCCATCTTCCACGAAAAATATCTCTTGCATTTCACGAAAAATTCCGTCACTAGATCACTAAATAAAAACGATATTTACCTAGATATTTAATTGTGATAGAGGCAATTTAACTCTGGGTGTGTTGGTTTATGTAACAGACCATGTTTTCACAAGTAACCAGAGAGGTAACATGGGTGAACAGTGAACTGTGTTGACCATAATTTTCCACGAGGAGAGAGAGTGAATTGTATTTTTGAGAAGCAAATGTGAGCTCCACGTTTTTGGAGAGTAAAATTATGCTTTTTTTGGTAAAGCGGTCGTTTCCACGCTTTGCTGGGTAATAAAAGGGGCAGTTGATTAGATAGTGTAGCAGAGTGAGGACGTGTATTTCTGAAATGTGGAATATTATATATATATATATGAAATGATTACATTCATGCAAGGATTATTATTAATATTATCAGTATAAAGTGTGATATAATAAAGTACTGTAAGTTTAATCAGAATTCGGTATCCTTCTTTACGTGCCTGGATAAGTGACTGGATAAGTAAGTGGAAGAATGGAAGAAGTCTTAGCCGGCATCCTGAAGCATTAATATAAAACAAGTGACCATGCTACTGACATAACGCATTAAGAAATAGCATGTCACACCATGAGTTACAATGATGTCAGAGCATGTGTTACAGTTTAAGACAGTGTTCCTCATTTATTTAGCCTCATGTCCCGCCTGAACACCATAAATGGTTTTATGTTCCACCTGTCATAACATTTTCCCCACCCTTAAAATATAAATACATTTACCCCAGATACTAAATGAGCACCATAATCTACAAATCTACCCATTTTGGTGAACACAGGTATAAGGGATCCAAGTTTACCTCTGTTCACAGAAATTCCATGACGATATCAAGTTAACACTTTTTAAAACTAGATTTAGTTTTACCCATTCTAAATGGCTAAAATTAACATTTTCATTTCAGGCCGTAATATAGCATTGAGGCAAGCGGCGAAACAATCTTCTAATTATTCCAACACATCGAATGCAGAAAAAGCAGTTGATGGCATAAAAAACAATAAATTAATCGGTGAAAGCTGCACACATACAAATGGTGATAAAAATCCTTTCTGGATGTTGACATTTTTTAATTCTCAGAAGATAAATAGAATTATTATTTATAACCGATATGAAGATGTATCGATACATAATCCTTCCGGTAAGTTTAAATTGTGCAGTAGATTACGCAGGACTTTTAAGTATTTACTTACCTGAATTTATGCTATACTCATGACATCACTAACACAAATAAGTTAAAAATTTACAGAGTCTGAGAAATTAGTTAGCTCATATAATGCAAATTGTAATAATAAATATTTTGTTCACGAAAGTAGGTCAGCACTTTTTGTGATGAATTTTATATGGCAGGAGACCTAATCTTCTTGAGATTAGCTTTATGTGCTCATTTTCTATTTATTTTGTGAAATTAATAACGACATTCTTCTTGTCTGATATAAAAGTAATTGGATTATGAAAGATTTAATTTTTATTTAAATGAAATACCGTGAGTGTATTTAAAGACTGTATTTTAACCAATTTTTTTTCCGAAGATAAGTCTTGATGTATCCAATAAAAGATTTACCAATTTAATTCTTGTTTCTTTTAAGGATTCGCTGAACGCTTATCAGGATTCTCTTTGGAGGTCTACAATAATAATTCGATCGAAATAAACAGATATACCGATAAAAATGTCTCTGTGGAACAGGTGTACACAGTGACATTTCTCCAGCCATCAGAGCCAGCTTCTATGGTCAAGATAACCATTCCGACCACGTTTCTTACGTTGTGTGAAGTCGAAATTTTCGGTGGTATTTGCCTTCCCGCCCCCCCCCCCCCCCGCAATACATTTTAAAATTTAAATTTTATTTCATTGCTAGTTTATTGAATTTTTCAGCATGGAAAGAATCATTTTTCAACTGAATATAAAAACCTTTCATCAAAAATTAAAATATTCCTCAAAAGACTTTTGGAAAGGGATGATAAACAAAGAAGGCAATTTTAAAATAAAATATGAAAGAAAGTGATCAAGCTCATCTGCAGCGTATAGAATAGCTAAGTTAGTAGCACTTAAATATAAGCAGCATACGATGGTAGAGTCTCTTATTTTGCTAGCTTGCTGTGAAATAGCCACAAATTAAGTTTAGGAAAGAAGCAAAGAAGGACATTTTCAAGATTCCTGTGTCCGATGGCTCGATTCACAGAAGAATCAATAACATGTCCTGCAACATGAAAAGAACTGTCGCAATATTATTATTTTCCATTCCATATTTTTGCGAAGCAGAATTTTCAAAGATGATAATTGATGGACTGCATTCAAGTTGTGAAATGAAATAAAAGGATATAGCAAGTAAAACTTGAATTCATTGACAGGACAAAAGATTGACGTTTCGGCTAAGAGCTTTCATTAAAAAACAAGACAAAAAAACAATAAGTATCAGCTCACAGTAATAAAAAACTAATGAGATTTTTTTTTTTGTAACAGGAAGTAGGATTTTTTGTCAATCTTCTGTCCAGCAAATGAATTCAAGATTATCATACCTTGTCCTTATATTTCAGAATTTGCAACGATAGTTAATATTTAAAAAGGGAACGGGAGAGCTTGGTAAATTTAGAAGAGGAGATGTGAGCCAATTTATTCCTCCCAATATTGCTACAAACTGCAAAAAAATCACCAAGCTCACGCATCGGCTTAAGTTTAAGAATTTTTAAAGTATTGTTATTTTAAGTCACTTTTAATAGAGAAAAGTTATGCAGAACACGTACAATACAACATAAGCTTTAAAGCTAGAGGGGGGGGGAACCTTTTTGAAATCAAAACCGCAATACCTTCATGAACTGAACATACTGCCGTATTATAAGTGTTCCATGCAAAAATAAAAATTAAAAAATCAGAGTTTAGTGTTCACCGACCTTAAAAAAGTTTGTGAAGCCCTTGCCCCAGAGCGCTATTTTAAAATAATGAGATGGCGCCTACATATACTTGTTTGTGCTTGAAACAATTCATTAGTCTAGTTCAGATACTTTTATCTAAATATAATATTTCAAACGCTTCCTACCAAAATGTCTAGTTCCCCAGGGTTTGCTTAGCTTTCGAAAACAGGACAAAAGTGATTCATCCTGGAGATAAAACCCCCCACATGTTTAGCCCTATAATAGATAACTGGCTGATCTAAAAAGATAAAAAAAGGGACTATGAACATTCAAAAGACAGAGAATGCATAAAAAAAGCCCTTGTAGTAATAACAATAACAACAAAAAATTTAAATGCGTTTTTATACATCTTAAATCTGATTTCCCGTTTATTGCGTTTCAACTCGCCTTTGATAGAAATTCTTTTTTTTTTTTAAATAATATTTTTATATTTATTTTTATTATGTAGCCTGAATTTATTTTGGTGTCCAGATTCATCATGTCCAGCCGGATGGTATGGTCCGGAATGTAACAAGAAATGTCAGTGTTCAGATCCAGGTGAGGCGTGTCTTGTGATGACTGGCGGATGCTCTTCTGGGTGCGCCCCTGGCTACTACGGAGAGAGCTGTGATCAAGGTCAGTCAATAATTAATTATACATTTTGTAAATATTATTTTTTGTTGTTGATGATGAATTTCTCTCAATTACTCAATTACTAACCATCAAACCACACATTTCAATTATACACATTAGGCGTAACTTTATTTGAATTGCTCTCTATTGCTATTAGTAAGCTTAGTGGCCCATATCATAATAACCTCTTTCTGATGCTGCCTATTGCAATAAGTAAGCTTAGTGCCACATATCATGATTAGGGCTCTCCGAGGCCATCTGTTGCTATAAGTAAGCTTAGTGGCCCGTGTCATAATGTTTTCAAAAAAAAGTAAGTAAAAAAAAAAAGTTGAAAGCTGAAATGCATTTTAAATACGGTATCTAAATTATCGATCTTATTTTATTATTACCTATAACCCTTTGGTGAAAAGATGATATTATTTTTCAGTTTCGGCATTTTAAATATTTGTTCTTTGCAAGGGGGGGGGGGGGCAAAAAAATAAAACTATTCCGACTTTTTGAGTAGTTTATTTGGTTTGCAGTTGCAAGCCGGTGTGGCAAACCGGTGCCACAAGTCCTTGCTGCAAGATGTGTGCATATGATTCATTTCAAGTGACATTTTGTCACTGAATATAATGTAAATTATGTTTTGATGCATTTGATTATATTTGCCAAAACGAAGGATGTCGTCTTTTTTTCAAACGACCAAAATCATCAATAAATTAGTATATTTTTGATAGCAATTGGTTGCCAGTGGCTGAGCATCTACCATTCCCTTGCTTATAGTTGTTGATAGCAATTAGTTGCCAGTGGCTGAGCATCTACCATTCCCTTGCTAATAGTTGTTGATAGCAATTAGTTGCCAGTGGCTGAACATCTACCATTCCCTTGCTAATAGTTGTTGATAGCAATTGGTTGCCAGTGGCTGAGCATCTACCATTCCCTTGCTAATAGTTGTTGATAGCAATTGGTTGCCAGTGGCTGAGCATCTACCATTCCCTTGCTAATATTCATTTAAAAAAATGATATTCGTTAAATTAAATTAGTCTACAGACTGCACTTTGTTTTTTAGTCTACTTACGTATTGTCCTCAATGCAGTCTTAGGCAACGCATTCTCATCTTTATTGTCTGGCATATAGAAGTATACGAAACATTGACCTCGACATATGTGTTTCACAAAAACTTGCTTTTTCATAACCCGTTAGAAACAAACTGAGAAAACACTGGCAGATTTAAAACAAATTACAGCTTAAACATTCAATAGAAACTATTTCATGCTACAACTGAACATCTACTAGTTAATTACATACAATTTTACTAAAATTCTATATCATAATAAGTTAATGTTCCTCTATGGTATTTTAGGTAGCATTTTATCTATCTGCTAAATTGGTTTCCACCATTGACATATTAAACAGAATGTCTTCCTGGTTATTGGGGCGTCGACTGTCTCGAACAATGTAGCAGCATATGCTATGCGTACTCCTGTGCTAGGGAGAGTGGGAGATGTTTGCAAGGCTGCACAAACGAGACAGACCTGCCAGAATGCAAAGTTGGTAAGAGAAGAGAATGAAAAAAAAGACGTTTTGGATTAGATATAAAATATTTTAAACTCAACAATACTTTTTATCACCTTTTTGATTTTGTTTCCTTGGAAATTTATATTTCATATCATATGTATATTCGGTTAATAGACAATTTGCTTTTCATTTTTTATTATAGCATGTGACATTGGCTGGTTCGGACCAAACTGCCAGTACATGTGTCACTGCACAGACGAAAAATGTGACGTAAATGGTCTCTGTCTCAATGATTCTTTTTGTGAATTTGGCTGGTTTGGTCCCGGGTGTCAATATGGCAAGTATTAGATGGATGTTTCAAAATGATTTATTTTGTGAATTTGGCTGGTTTGGTCCCGGGTGTCAATATGGCAAGTATTAGATAGATATATCAAAATGATGTATTTTGTGAATTTGGCTGGTTTTATCCTGCCTGTGCGTCATCATCTTAAGAAAGCATTGTAATATATTAACGGCGCCTTGATTTATTGTCTTCATTAACGTGTTCAAACTTTGTCAGTTGATTTGTGTCAAGACGCCAAGCTCACCACAACGCCGCCCCACAACCTGGCCCTCACCGCTGACGCTGATGATGAAACATGTGTCATAAATCTCAGTTCTATCTCTTTGGAATGGACGACACCGATCGCCTTCACTTGGGTGAGGCTAGTCTTGCTGGAGCCTGGTTAGTACATATTCCAAAATGGAATAGCGACTTAATAATTTAAGCCCACTATGAATTAAGAGAGCGACTTAAATTATTTTCTCTGATGCCAGCTGTCGATTCAAAATATAATTCCAAATTTATTAAATATGATTGAAAAAACGCGAAACAAAGTTTGGGAAAATATTAATCAAAAACGACGCAACAATACAAAGAGCTAGCCGGCAAGAAGTATCCGAGAGGATAGACTAGTTACAGGAATTTGTTGTCCTATGGGAGGCTAGATTGCAACTAAGTGCCATTTTTATTATGTTTTATAGTTGTTTGTTCGCTGATAAAGGCTTCCACAATGTTCGTTGTTTCGTTGCGTTTCTTTTGTCAAGTTCTTTTTCCATAATTTTCTTAAACTCATTCCATTTTTCTAACATGATTGCAGTCTCCATTCCTCACTCTTATTTCCATTAAATGTTATTGATCATCTTTATTTAAAGGGAGTATAGTTAGAGGTGAATAAAGCCGATTGCATCTAAAATATATATATGTTTTAAAAATATTTCTTACTCTTATCAAGGTTTAATATTTTGGCCTAAGAATTTTAAACAATTAACTAATAAACGCTTTGTTTTGTTAATATAACAATATGTCATATAAAGACCAAAACATTCTTACGACCATCATTAGGTGTGTGTGCGTGTGTATATTTGACAGATTATCGCGATCTCGTGACTCTGAGCTTTAAAGAAGCGAATGCGGACGGCACCTTCTGGAACTGTACGAATCTTGAAAAGAATGTCATTGACAAGAGAACAACAGATTTTTACTGTGACGTTAATGTTGTTATTAGCCAAATTGTCATCAGTTTAAAAGAGAGAAAATCTGTCTGTTCATTGTATGTTAGTGGAGGTAAACATTACAATATCTTAATTTGCAGTGCTGTATTTAAAGAGTTTTCACAAAATTTAAGTTTGGTGGACCCATGCACAAATTGAGAAATTAGCACCAGGGGATGGTGCCCGATTAGATTTATTTAATTTGTTTTATATAATATTTATTTTTTTGGCAGACCGGCAACTTAAAGCTCACTGAACGGCACCAGTCCACAGACCACAATTTGGGGAACGCTGCATTAAAATACTAAAATACCTTTAAAACAATAAATAGTTTCGTTTTTCTCGTTCCCGTTCTTAAATTTTCAGATACTGTAAATGATTAAATTGTTATTGTTTTTAATTACGATAAGTCAACAGTGATGAGTTTCTGTATTTGGGCATGTTAGAGGTCAAAAGTGATCAATTTACTTATTACGGTATGTCAAAAGTGACTCACTTCTTTTAAACGTCTTGTCAAATGTGATGTATTTATTTATTTAATACAGTTGCTTATTATTGAAGATTGACCCTAAATCCTCGCTTCTATGGATTATCTAGTTACGCATGGGTCCACAGTAAAACTTTTTCTAATATAATTCTGCGTCACCCAGCGTATTTCTGTCACCCCCAGGTAGGAATATTGCACTAAGGCAGTATACACACCAGTCTTCGACGTCCTCTAAGCTTGGTTTCAATCTGACAAAGTCCTCAAACGCTGTTGATGGCTCAACAGTTAGTTCGTTAGATTTTGGAAGCTGTTCTCACACTGAGACTGGGGAACCCAACCCGTCTTGGACCGTGACATTCCTCACGCCACAGATTATAAATAGATACGTTATTTACAATAATTTTGAAAGTATTGGTGAGTATTAATTATGCTCCTAATGTTTTACAGCGTATGGTATTGTTATTGAATTTTTTCTAAAATTACAGCCCTTCAACTTTGTATCAGCTACTGTTAATTAAAAGTCTAAAAGTTATAGTTAATAATTATAACTAATGTTCGTTCAAGATGTGGGATAACGTAATTGTTTGTAAAAATAATAAAAATGGAAATTGTATGGTTTATACTGAACTTTTGATGAGAGATATAAATATGTAGAAACTATGCTTACTTATTATTGCTAGGACTATAATTAAGTTTAGATTTTTTAATTTTAGATCTACTTTTCAGCATAGTTTAGTTTTTCCATATTTCGTTTCGACAGAAATACCGATCTATTTTTTGGTTCTATATTGCAACTTTTTTCAAAGTATTTAAAGAAAGTGGCAGTGCAAATTTACTTTTATTAATGGAAATATCTATAATGACAAATTTTCAATAGTGTAGGAAAGTATTTATTAATTTAAAATGATTGGGTCGGAGGTTTTGCTCTAATTGAGCATAGCTCGTATTGACCGGCCGCCATTTTGACATTGACGTCATTGAAAAAAGTAGATAAAAGTTAAATCTGTAAAAAAATTTCATAATATGGAATCAATTCAAAAAGAAGCCATGCAAGCTAGACATGAATTTTAATCTAATGCCTTAATTATAATCAATTAAAATGTATATTTATTTCCCCAGATACAAAGTGCTGTCCAGGTGGCCTTCAAGACTTCAGACTTACTAGCGTCAACATCGATCTTATGAATGTATTCAGTTATACCGACGCTACACTAAAGGACCCACTGTTCATCTACAATATACCAACCCCGGGTATCAAAGAATCGATTACATCTGTCACGATTGCGTCCACCATCACGAGCGTGTTTGACGTCTTTGCGCACTATTTATCATTTTGTGAGGTGGAAATCTATGGTGGTTAGTTTTATTTCTATGAATAAATGTCTGCGCCATTAACCTTCATCAATCTAAACTACTTCGAGCCTTTGAGGATGAAGTTTGATTTTTTTTCAAATAGACTTAATAATAATAATAATAATTCCTTGTACACAATTATGATGTCTTCAAAGATGGCTTTTTGGACATAAATTTGGACTACTATCACGATATTTTCTGTTGAGCCTCTATTCTTCTTGCAAAATTTAAAAAAAAAATTGTTTGGAATTAGAATTTTTAAGAAACTAAACAAAAGAAAGCAAACACTCATTAGCATCTAAGAATTCATCAACATTAGTCCACCATTCTTACCTTTTCATGAGATGTGCTTGACTGTTATGTTATTTGTGCCTCTTTTAAGTCCCATTTTGCAAAACATTCACTATAATCTAGAACGTTGAAATCGTCCACACATATTTAACACGTGATTAACTTGTGCTCCAACTTTTCAACTTCGATTTGTCGTCGATTTACACTTTCGGAAATATATTTTATTTTAATTTAGCAAGCAAGAAAAAAACGAAATAATCAAATCTATCAATAAATGCAGTAAATTCTTTTTCTATTTATAACTATTTGAGAATGATGCTCGGTATTAGATCATCTTCAAAAAACTTGATTTAGATGCGGATCATTTCGCGGATTTGACGCCTGAATAACTGTATTGACGATATTATACAAAAAATAAAATAGGGATCTTGTCTTACATTTCCTCCACAATTCCTGTTGTCTAACCAGACTCTGCTTGTCCTAACGGAACGTACGGACGTGAATGCAGGAGTAAGTGCAACTGTGCGGTACCCGGGGAGTCTTGCTTTGTGAGCACAGGCGGATGCCCGTCGGGTTGCGCCCCTGGTTTCTATGGAGAAGGGTGTGCAACTGGTAAGTCAGTAGGTAATTAGATGGACAAACGAAGATAGTGGTGAATTGATGCCAGTTTTTGGAAGATTCGATAGCAGATTAATAGTTCTGTTCAGTGTAATTCTCTTTCGTTAAAGAAATGTTACTATTTTTTTTAAATAAAGATGAGGACTTCGGTCAAATCCTATTTATACATCAAGTGAAACAGATTCTCTTTTCTTGCAAGGAAAGCTTTTGTTATCTTCAGAAATATACCATCCTATAAAATTATTATACTTTAATGGAGTTTTTAAAAAAAATCAGCGTAGCAAAAATAGTTTAAAACAAGAACGTTTTTTAACACGAATTCAATTGGCTATAACCTACTTCTTGATTTCCGGCAACAATAATGAAGATATCTGAAGATTTCACCGTGTTCTGTGTCTTGTCGTATTTGTCCTGTTCGCTGAAGAAGGCTCTAAGCCGGAACGTCCACATCTCATTGTCCTGTCTTTTGATGCAACCCTCAACATACCTTGCTCTACTATTTCATTCTCTGTTTCCAGAGTGTTCAGCGGGCTCTTGGGGTATCGACTGTCGTCACGAATGCAGCAGTGTTTGCAATAACGCCTGTAACAGATTTACAGGGGATTGCGTGATTATAGTTCAATAAGAATGAATGTATTAGAATTTGTTAAAATATACATTTTGAATATATTATTAAATAATCATGGTTATTTGTTAAACATGTAAACACACATTAACTATCATTTATATTAAATTGTGCAAGTTAAAAAAAAAATTCTTTGTAAGAATATTTATCTATATGCTGAAATGATGTTTGTGTACAATGTTTAAAAAAAGCATTTCCATTTATTTGTATTAATAAAAGAATCTTATCTTAACATATTTTATCTTATCTTACAATTCAATTATGAGATAGCAAGCAGTCGTGGGAAGAATTAAATTTAAGCAAGACGCTCTCTACACACACATAGATAAAGTCCTCAATTGGGTTATAATTATATTAAGTATTTTTAGCGCTTGTGACGGCCCGTCTGAGTTCATTATTTGATTCAAAACGATGCCAACGTACTGATTTTGAAGATCCCAATCCAGCCTGGCAAATTTCATTTTAAATACATCAGATTTTAAAAAAAACCGATTGGTTATTTTTAAATTTAATTTTAAAATTAACGATACGTCTAATGTATGAAAGTCTTTAGTAGTTGCTCATTCTTCAACTATGATTGATAGTTCATTTCTGAACTTCAACTCATTTTTCATTTTTTTAAAAAAAGTTTAGATACTTTCTATTTCAAAACGTTCAATAGTCACATCTAATCGGGGATCATTTAAGAATTCAAATCTTCCGACGTAATCCCTGAACACTCACAAACCATCTACAACAATAATGATACTAATGATAACCAAGACTCCAGTTATCCGTCACTATTGGTCGTTGATTTATTTTATTACTTTTCACTGAGAAGGTCGAGATAGAAATGTTGGCGAAAATGTCTTTTTTAACACTTTACTCATTTATCACCGCTATTTTTTTGTGTGCGTTTCATTCTGGCTGAGTATTCGCCATAATCTTCGGAAAGCTAATTGACCCCCTTCCTGTCAAACCATCGATCTGAAACTTGGCACATAGTCTCGGATGCCAATGACAACACAATCATTCATAGTTTTAGCCCCACTCCCAAGCCCCAACTCCCCAAAACAAGTATTTCATGTTTTTCAAGTGGGAAGATGAAGGAGATATAGTGCCACTGATTTCACAAAATAAAAGTCCCAACTGCGCTAAACGAGATTCTTTAAAAAACACAAAACAAAACACGATCGCAATTTTTTTGGTGCGTTATATTTTCTTTTCTAAAATAGTTGGTGTAATAAATCTGCGGTGTACAAGCAAGTGGGACATCAGAATATTAATATAAAATTATAAAAAATGGGTATGAAGCATTAATATGAAAACAAAATTATGTTTAGGGTTTTTTTTATTAAAAGACCAGTTACACTTATAAATGAGCGCATTAAATATCTTTTCTCACAGCCTTTATTTAGTATTTTAAGTCTATTTCTCACTTTTTCTTTGGAAGAGATTTAAATATTAAGAGATTGTTTTCAAATTTAAATTATCCGTGTTCAATAAAAGTTTTTCCATAATGCTAATAGATTCATTACTTTTTTTAAATTTCGATTAAACAACATCTGTTGTTTCCATGTAAGCTATTGAATACAACAACATATGTTAATAATATTTTTATAACTCAAAGTATACAGATTAGAAGTTGATTTATATGTCATTCTAACGTAATTAAAATCTCTTAACTAAATAAAGTATATTCAATAACCAGCGTTACATAATTACGTTAAGCTGATTTTTCATTTCGATATGTCATACGATGTGTCACGTCAGAAAGTATGGCCGTAAGTGAGGAGGAACTTGCATATGTGCTGTTCATGGTCAGTCTTGTTATATCACCTAAGGTGATGACAGTCTGGGTGTGCTAAGGGTGAGTGCACTTAAATGTTTCCTTTCACAAGTTGTACATGCCATACGTGCCTTTATAGCATCTATAGGGAAGGCTGAGCTACAAGTGTGTACATTTAGGCTACTCCGTGCAGGTGTGTTAGTGATGCGTACAATCATGGCTTAAATGGAGCAGAGTGTGACTGTTGTAAATACGATTTGAAACGCTTCTTAAATGAATACAATTACCTTTTTTTGACCTTTTGGCTCTCAATATATTTTTAACGTATGCTTTGTCTCACAATTATCAATTATATACGAAGTATCTTGGAGCCGTGGGAAGTGTAGCGTCCAGTGAGAATTGATTGATTGGATATTTATATAGCTTGTATCCATGCTACTTTAGCATGCTCACTACGCTCTGGTGATCTTAAATCTATTTCAACAAAAATGTCTTTAAATGTTTCAGATTTCTTATCATTTTCTAATTGCCTTAAAGATGGAGGCAAACTGATCTAGAATTTAAGTCTATGGCTTTAAAAAAGAGCACTCCGTAGGACTTTTTTTTTCTGTGTTCATCCACACTAGGAATTTTTAGTAAAGAATGTGTTGAAGACTGCAGTGTGAAGTGTAGCCTAGAGTGAGAAGTATAGGGTAGAGTGAGAAGTATAGTGTAGAGTGAGGGTTGTGCTGTAGAGTGAGAAATGAAGTGTAGAGTGAGAAATGAAGTGTAGAGTGAGAAATGAAGGGTAGAGTGAGAAGTATAGCGTAGAGTGAGAAGTATATCGTAAAGTGAGGGTTGTGCTGTAGAGTGAGAAATGAAGTGTAGAGTGAGAAATGAAGTGTAGAGTGAGAAATGAAGGGTAGAGTGAGAAGTATAGCGTAGAGTGAGAAGTATAGCGTAAAGTAAGAATTTAAGCATATAGTGAGAAGTGTAGCGTAGAGTAAGATGCATGGAGTATTGTGAGAAATGAAGTGTAGAGTGAGAAGTGTAGCAAAGAGTGAGAGGTGTAGAGGAGAGTGAGAAGTTTAGAGTTGAGTTTTAATTTGATTCCCATGCGTTCCCATACGTTCAATGCATTATGATTTGCTTTGTCTCAGGACTTGACACTAAGTAGAGTCGTGAACAGACACTATACCTTTGTTTTTGAGATAAGTAGTGTAGCTAGCTAATGCTATATTGTGTTAGGTACTATGTTGATGATATCCTGGTAATGGGAGCAAAATTACTTAGGCCTTAATCCTCACCTCTAACGGTGACTTCTTTAGAAGACAGACGTACAGCATTCTGATATATGAATGAAACTGGTGTTAACTGGGCATGTTCTTTAGGACCTTAGGTGTTTAGATGATATAGTTTCGGACAAATCAGTGTTTAGATGCTATATTTGAGAACATAATCGTGGTTGGATGCTATAATTTAGGGCATAGCAGAGTTTCGATGATAAAACCGTTAGGATATCACAGTGTTTGGATGCTAAACTTTATGACATAGCTTTAATGGAGGCAATAAGATGCGTTGTTTTTTGACATTATAGTATTTAGATTCTATATTTTAGGATATAACATTGTTTGGATGATATAGTTTAAGACAAAGCATTTTTAGATGACATAGTTTAGGAAAATGCAATATGCAGATGCTATAGCTTAGGGCATAGATGTGATTGGATATTTTAATTTAGGACTTAACAGTGTTTAGATTTAGTAGTTATGAACTTTTGAGTTACTGTGAGTTGTTTATATGATAACATCACGCTTAGTTAGTAGTTAATATGGGGACCTATATTTTGAAATCACATTAATTTTCATTACACACATTTTTTTGTACTTAGATATTTATTTTGTATAGATACGCTGGGATCTCTTACAACAGTTTTGGTTTGTGTTTGATGCCTATTGTTATGTAGACGACATGTTTACGTCATAATTACCCGTCAATGCACTCTAGCTGACGCCAGTTTTGAGTCTCCGCGCAACAGTTTTGAGTCTCCGCGCAGCAGTTGTGAGTTCTCCGCGGAGCAGTTGTGAGTCTCCGCGGAGCAGTTGTGAGTCTCCGCGGAGCAGTTTTGAGTATCTGCGCAGCACATTTTAAAAAAAATTAATAAATTCAAACACACACTCTGAACTCTGCAGCCGGAATCATACAGTTTTTATAACATATGCATTCCTGTTTTTAATTGATTCAGATATATATTTTTACGTAGAACTATTGATTTACATACTTACCAATACCATATCAATTTAGCCTCGTTCTGAACCACCGCCGCCATTCATGTAAAATTCGTGACGCATACTGTGCACTGAATGTGTACAAAGTAAATACATCGCATATCTCAAGTTTATTTTAAAATGTTGTAGCTGATTATTTTAATAATGTTTTAAACATTGTCTAAATGTCAGTTAAGTGAATTGTCAGTGTTATCGTTTGCTAAGAACAAGTGTAAATCAAACTTTAAAACGAAATCGCTCAATGAATTTGTACATGCAGCACTACCAGATTTGTCGTTAGAGCGAAAACTATCAAGCTGGATGATATTTTTAAATATCGTTTAATTAATAATGATGTTGCTGGAGAAAAGCGCTTCAAAGCAAATGCGGATGGTGATTTCCCCCTAGGGAAAAGGGTGGAAGCTTGGAAGCTGAATTATTTTAAACGACAAATCAAGCAAAAAATACACTTAGTTGCCATACAGAGACATCGTTCTATACAGCCAGATGGTGTACGGCGAATGCTTAAAGAAAGTGTCGCATGTTAAAATTTTGATTGATTCACAACGTCCTATAGGCTATCAACATGAACACGTATATGAATGCGGTTCAATACATATAATACACAACCATTTGGCTAAGATTTCCCCCAGTCCCTGATAGCTGGCGCAGTAAGAATTACTCTTTTGAGTTTGATGACTCTATCGATTCGGTAGGGAAGGATGCTATAGTTAGCAAACTTCACAATGCAAAGTTCCCCACATTAACAGTAGTTGAAATCACTAATATATCACTGACAAAAAATGTTGACCTCAAATGCAAAGTTTCGGCCAAATCCCGTTAATGTGTACAAGACAGTGTTTGTTGGAATTTTATCTATGTCGGCAGGTGACAGTTAATCTTTGGAATGAGCAATAACTGAGTTTTATCAAAGAATTCATTGGACGTGCAAAGTTTGGTTATGCTAGGCAAGAACAATGGAGTTG